TCGATCCTATGGCCTTCCGATCCTTTGGTAATTCCACCAAATCCCACGTTTTATTTTCAAGAAGTGATTCATATTCCAAATCAGCCGCCTCCTGCCACTCATTTGCGTTAGAACTCATCATTGCCTCTTTCAGTGTACTTGGTTCTGCAACACAACAAACACTAGCATAATGATCAACAGTCACCAGATCAGCAAACTCATCATAACCATATCTCTTAGGTGGTTTTCTGATTCTGCCACCTAGTCTAGTAGTTTCATCGACAGTTGCATCGACTGATGTTCTCTCGTCAGTTCTCAAGACCACTTCGTTCTCCACACAAGAAATGTCCACTTCCTGTTTCAGGTCAAAATCTGACTCATTGAAGATCACATCCCGACGAATCAGAATCCTCCTTTTTTCTTCATCGTACAAACGATAGCCCTTGGCATTGTTGGCATATCCCACGAAACGAAGCTTCACAGCCTTCTTATCCAGTTTTCTTCTTTCTGTGTCTGGGACATGTGCATAAGCTACACAACCAAACACTTTCATGTGACTCACATTTGGCTGTTTGTCGCACCATCTCTGATACGGCGTCACTTGTTTCAGGACAGAAGTAGGAAGTCTGTTCTGTGTGTAAGCTGCGGTTGCTACAGCCTCTGCCCAGTACGACTTTGTTAATTTAGCGTGAGAGAGCATGGTTCTCGCTGCTTCAATTAATGTCCTGTTCTTTCTTTCTGCAAAACCATTTTGCTGTGGTGTGTGAGGTACAGTTGTCTCATGATGGATACCTTGAACCTTCAAGTATTCTTGAAATTCTTTTGAAGTGTATTCCCCACCATTATCCCTTCTCAGTCTTGCTATTTTCTGCCCGCACTCATTGGATAATGTTTTCTCAAATTCCTTGAATCTGGAAAGAACTTCACTCTTTTGTTTCATAAAGTATACTTTGCAACATCTAGAATAATCATCAATAAAAGTCACAAAGTACTTTGATCCACCTATAGACTCAGTCTGCATCGGACCACAGACGTCACTATGCACCAACTGTAGTTTTCGTTTTGAACGAATTTCACCTACTGGTTTATGTGGCTTCCTTGACAGCTTTCCTTCCACACATGCTTCACAGAAAGAAACTTCTTTCTCTTCAGGAAAGTCCACTCCATTTACCAGTTTTTTCAGTTCCTTCAATTTAGTGGTGTGAGCCAAACGCTGATGCCACAAACTGATTGCTGTTAGTGCACTTGATGCACAATGCACACTTCCCTCTACATCCAGCTGATACAATCCATCAGATCTTTGTGTTCCCATTCCTCTGAGATTTCCATTTTTGTTACGAATGTAACAACGAGACTTCTTGAACTCCACAGTATTTCCCTTTTTTACAGCAGCTCCCACTGAGAAGAGATTCCCGGATAACTTGGGAACATACAGCACAGCAAACATTGTGACATTTTTTACATCACTGACTTGTAATGTCATTCTCAGTTTAACATTACCAATTCCTAGAGCGTCAACCACTCTACCATCACCAAGTTTCACAGACTGTGTTTTTTGAAATTGCTGGTAGTCTTGAAGAATTTCTTCGTGACACGTCATGTGCTTTGAAGCTCCAGAATCGATCAACCACTCGACCTGTTGTGTCATCTTATCCTGATTTTCTCCTCTAGCGATAAAGGCACTCTCAGACGAATCTTCATCATGGTCAAATGTTACATTTTTTGCTTTGTGAATTTTAGTCTGTTTTTTCTTACTTGGACAGTCACGCTTGATATGTCCTTCTTTTCCACATTTGTAACATCTCCACGAACTTGTATTGACATCGCTGACGCACCACCGGACAAAGCATCACTATAGTTACCATCAGTAGACACTCGTTTTTGTTCTTCATTTATTAATGCTTGCTGAACAAACTGTAGCGTCAAACTGTCCAACTTAGTTTCCAGTGCAGTAACTATTGTAGCATAGCTTGGTGGCAAGCTACCAAGCAGTGTTACAATCTGATCCTCTTCTTCGATCAACGCACCTATTGCCCCCAGCTTGTCAGTTAATTCCTTCATTCGTTTCAAATGTTCAGTTACATTTTCTCCTTCTTTCATTTCACATCTAAAGTATTTTTTCTTCAGAAACAGCTTGTTTGCTAGAGTGTCTCTTTCAAAATGTCCTTTTAGTGTGTCCCAAGCTTCCTTTGGGGTCTTACAGCTTGTTATCAGATACAACTGAGGCGTACTTACATTCAGCACCAACACAGAAAATGCTTTTTCCTTCCGTTTTTCAAATTCTGCTCTTGCCTGTGCATTTGCTCCTTCTGCCACGTTGTCAGTCTCCATTACCATGCCCCAAAAACCTTTAGCTTTCAGAAAATGTTCCATTTGAAATTTCCACGTTGCCCAGTTCTCTGGCCCACTCAATTTTTCAATAAACAGTTTATCCTCCATGGTGAATACCAGAACACTGTCTATTTCACAAAAAAAAAAAAAAAAAAAAATTCCTGTGTAAAACTACCTCTTCTTTTTCTTTAGCGAAGATCTGGGCCCATAACCTGTAGAAGTTTCACGTGCTTTTTTATTACTGACAACGACAGAGAGAGAAAACAGCGAAGAAGAATAACAGAACTGTAGTGACTCACTTAATACAACAGTGACACCTATTGGCAAATTACTATATTACAACCATTTTAACATCTACTCTCGTGTAATGGAAATCATCAAAGGGACAGTTCACCCACAAATTACACAAATTCAGTGTCATTTGCTTGCTCTCATGTCGTTCCAAACCTGTGTGAATTTTTTTCTTCTGTGGAACAGAAGAATATTTTAAATAATGTTCGGGTCCAAACAACACTGGATCCCTAGCCTGGGAAAACCCAGACAACTTCCGGCAAATTTAGATTTGCTCTGAAAGTTAGTCTGGCAAAGAGCTCATTCAAGCTCATTTCCAATCCGCCGAAATCGAAGCACCAATCAGAAACGTTGGGGCGGGCTTTACATGATGACGACAGCGCTGGGATTTTGAAGCAGATTTTAGCCTACATTACAGAGATGGATGCCGCCGTCGAACATCACTCGTTCGAATCAGCTATCGCGTCTGTTTTAAGCGATTTGAACGTTTCCCTTTTGTTAAAAACCGAGCAAAGAACAACACTCGGAGATGTTTCTGCCGCTCTGCATACGTCATCTCCTTCATCGCTCTGATTGGTTTTAGGTCTATCCGTGACGTCCGTTGGTGACGCCCCTCTGGAAATGATTCGTCTATGACGCTGTGCCAGACCATAAATCAGTTACAACTGAGAATGGTCAGGCTACTGGATCCCATGAAGAAGAAAAAAACACTTGGATATTTTAATAATACCATCTTTTGTGTTTCACAGAAAAAAAAGTCAAGCAGGTTTGTACACGAGGGTGATTAAACAATGACAATTTTCATTTTGGGGTAAACTTTCCCTTTAAGCTTTTTACAATAAACATGCAATATGTCATTAACTTGACAAAATGTTTGAACAGATTATTAGAAATAAAGAAGTTTAAAAATGAATTTGATTAAACTTGTCTCACTCTCTCTTTCTGCAGCAAATGTTCCATTTTCTAAGTCTAAAGTCGAATCTCAGATGTTCTTCTATGATATTCATGGCACACATCTACAAAGGAACTGAATATTTAATAAAGAACTATATTTTTTAATGATAATTTCATGATTTCATAAATAGCTCTACATCTGAAATAAGCCAGTGTTCCTAATCTCAGCCAAGTAGAAAACTGTGAGCAGTGTTGTTTGTATGGCCTGGGTATATTTAAAAGCCTTGAAGCCAAGGTTTGTTTACATGAGTCAAAGTAGACTTTCGTTGTCTTACAAACCTGCTGGTTGTGCAGAATCATAATGTTATGGGATTTTCCACTCAAAATAAAAACTATAGTAACAGGTCAAGTGTATTAATTTAAGCTGAATGGTCAAAAAAAAATAGAGAATATAGTAAGTATACTGAGCATTTTACTTCAGTATGTCAGTGTACAGACTGGAACAAATACTTTTAGAAGTTAATATGGAGGCAAAGACAGGTCCAGTTCAAACAATGGTTAGTTTACCATGAAACATCAAGCTCCAACTGAAAAAAAAACTGCCAATGGGACCTGTCTTAACTCAAATCATAAAATTACAATGCTGACTCAATCTGCAATAAGATGAGTATGTCTAATAATAGTAGGCCTACATCTTCGCTTTAAATAAAACCTTATGTCTTTACTGTTTGTGTCAAGACTCAAGTGAATCACACTGAATCACTCTTGAGTTCTAAACATGCAATTCTAGGTCCAATGTGTTAGGTAAGGGGAATTTTCTTGATTCATTCTCTTTTCAGTGCGAAGACCTCACAAAGAATAAGCTTCGGCTCTTGGTGAACCATCAGAGACTTTAACAAAGTCATCGTGGATAAACCTCTTGAACAAAATAAAATTCCAAGCCACATTAAGGAATTTATTAGACCGAATTTCCAGAGTTATAGTTCCTTTGGTTTTTTTACCCTTATATGTGCTTTACTTTTGGTGCTCATGTCATGCAACTCGGGTTTGTTTGGAGCAGAACCTTTTCTTTGGGTTAGTTCAAAACAAAGTCATCAGTCTTGGACACAGGTTTGACTATCTGCGCCAGCTGGTTTTGGCATTTGGGTCTGGATCTCAACAGTGCAAAATACAGACTGAAAACCCATTACATGACATTATAAAACGTTTAAACAGAAGAGAGTATGCACAAACATGTACAATGACTCTCAAGAGACATGCAATACACACTCAGGTGAGGGGAGAATAACCTGACATGTTTCTTGTACATAACCTTCCACACAAACACTCACACTTTGATGTATTTAATCCCAAATTAGGCTATACATTTTTAGAAGTCTGTTCAAATAGCCTACATAATACACAAGCATTTATCCGTTATTTTATCAGCAGTCAGTGTAGATAGAACCACGATAAAACTTAAAGAACAACAGTAACTGCTTCAACTGGATAAATCAGATACTCACTTTGAGCCAAGAAAAGCGCTCGAGCGCACAAGGGCACAGACAAGTTCTTCATGACCGATATCCTCTTGGTTTGATCACTCTAAGATATGTTAAAAACAATATAAAGCCGAATTAGCAGGCTTTATTCACCTGACAAACATTTATCGCGAAGGAACACTTGCTGTTTGTCGACCAGCGACATCAGCAGCGGCAGCAGTCTGTTCTACTGACCCACCTTCAGGATTCAGTCCCTCCGCATGGCCTGCCCCCTTTAAACATATCAACAAACCCTTCAGATAGCTAGGCTACTGTCTTTATTCATATTCCTCTAATCCGAAATAAAATGTATGAAATAAAAATAATACTTTTGAGAGCAAATATGAAAACTTCAAGCACAGTTATCATAAGAAAATGAAATGCCCTTCAGAGAAAGTCGACATCTATTCAAATGTTTGTTTTCGGAACTTCGTGTAACAGTTAAAATGTTAACTCTTACTAATGAGTTAAAAGTTTTAATATGAGGACAGTTATGACAGTTAATAGCAGTCGTTCAAATAGTTCCCGAAATAATAAACTTTTGCGTTCCCAATAGAAACTTGCATTTGATCATACAACTTTTGCGTTCTCTAAAAAATGTTTTTGCGATAAGCCTACCCGGGAAACTTTGTGTTCGCTTGCCAAAGCAAAATAGTTTCCCCTCCCATCTCATTTCCATCACAAAACTGTTCCGAGCGAACACTAAGTTTATCTGATGAACGCAAAAAAAAAAAAAAAAAATGTGTCACTAAACTATACGATCTGGACTGTTATTGATTCAAAACGTATTTTGTATGTAGCAATCTGTTAACATTTTACAGATGATCATTCAATTGCATGGTGCATATTGTCTTTGATATACATAGCCTATGACAGAGACGTAGGCCTATGTGTAACACCTGGTAATAATTACTGATGGTGCCTCAGTCGCTGTTTCATCAAGGTGTTGTTGGTATGTTTACAGGCTTTGCTCGCAGCATGGTTATGGGCCACATTGCAGACTCAGCTCCCGCAATGAGCAATAAAACTATAGGGAACAAACAATAAAGACAGTCTCATTCTCCTAAGAACCCAAAGACGTCCAGCAAAGAGAGAAGGGGCAACTGTATTTCTTCAGCTAGGCATACTTTATAGTGATGTAGCCTAAAAGCAGCCTTCGGGATTCATGCTCAACGAACAAGCAGTTATCATTTCACCAAACATTTACGGAAAACCGATTTCAGTGCTAAATTATAAATATGTGATAACTGATAAACGGCACGTAGGACATTTGTTTCTGAATAGTAAGAATACTAAGTGCCTTAGTTGATTTAATCTTTTGGCCTGCTTATATTTTCGGTTTACATAAAAATGAAGAAGATGATGGAAAAATAAGTTAAGTTGCATGACCACATATTTTTCCATCAGCTGTACAAACAACAAAGGAAGTCAAAGATTTAATTTTTAAAAAGGTAGATCTTTGCTGCCACCTTCTGGATTAAGTAAATATTGCAATTCTTTGGCAGGTCAACAGCTCACCAATAGGATCCCGTTCAGCACTGCGCTCAAAAACCATGCTGCTTGCAAAGATTACAAAAAAGAAAACCTACCACATAATGTAACTAAAGCTATTAAACACATGATATAGTTGAGACATAGATGTGCTGTAAGGACATAAACATATGATTACTTGGTGCAGTCACTATGAGACACTTGTTGTTGTGAGTTGTGACGTCCATTCATGGAATATCTTCTCATTAACAAGAAATTAAATCATTCATTCAGTTTTGTAAATAAACAAAATAGACACACTTTGCTAGTGGATTTGTCATTTGAAGCATTTTAATTAGAAGTTTGTGTTTGTTTGTTTTTTCTTTCTTTTGAGAGCATTGTGCAAATTGGTAACCTGTAAATATTGAAGATACATACATATGTAAACTGATCAAATCCAAGACATGGATTCAGCCCTTATTATGATGTCAAAAGACAAATTAGAGACAGTGCCAAAAAGAGACATAACAATCAAAAGGCATCAACAATAAGTATATTTTCTACAAAACAAAGCAGGTTCAATAAATACCATATTTACAGAACACTGGAAAAAACAAATGCATGCAAGTTGATTTTTATTGTGGTGTTTGAAGCAAAAGTAGTCCACAGTTGTTATTTTTTATTTTATTTTTTCACAAGTGTGATTCAGTAAATTACTTCAACCTAAAAGAGTCAAGCTATTTTAGGTGTTTCAGGAGCTATATCATCAAGCAAAAAGCCCTTAGGACTCAAGAGGTCAAATGATTTTTCTATCCATCAAACAATTCATTCTAGGATAAAGAGTGCTTTAGAGTTTATATTCATACTTTTTTGTGTGATAACAGACCTCCACAGGGCAGTAATGCATGAAGTACACAATTAGAAGTTGGAAAGAAGATGATTTTTTTTTCTGTGCCTTTTACTTTGCAAAAGCCCTGACTGTTGCATTGTTAAATACAAATTGATTAACTCAAGTCTCTTTTATTCATTGTCAGACAGGTATTACACACAAATGCATTTCTTTGTATGTTTGACCCTTCAACTTTATAGTATTAAATTACTGAATTATGGTCATGGCTTTTATCTGAGAGTTCCACCGCGTTCTCCCTGGTTCTCTTCCTGTCACTGAGTTGTATGTCCCCATGGGTACATGTTTTTGTAGATGTAGTCTTGGACCAAAGACATGGTTTAAGTCCCACCAATAGACCAGCTAATGGCATCAGCTTCATTTACTCAAACATTAAACTTCCCTAGAGGAAGAAAAAGCAGAATAGGGTTAATATAAATAGCAAATTAATATATTTAATGTGATCTTCTTTATATTACTTCAAAGCAGCTGGTAACAATTATAGCGTTTCGTAACACCAAATCCTTCACTAAAACATCAAGAAACAATTAGAGACCCTCCACTAGGTAAAAATAGATACAATACATGGAAAAATCAGTATTGTAGATGCAGTCATTCTCTCTGAAGTTCAAATTCTCTAATAACTCTGGGTGGAGACTGAGATTATTAGATAAAACACACTAGGGACAAAAGCCCCTGGATGTTGAAATGCCAGTTTCCCACAGACGGCTAGACAATAGGGGTTTGGCTGTCCTGTGCCTCACTGACTGAGATCACTGTGTCTCGCCCTATTAAAAGCTATATCAGAAGAGTACATTGTCTTCTAATGAGTCCACACTGACAGCTAATAATGTGCCACACTCTGCGGTGAACATTAACAATGAAGAGGGCATGTCTGGACAATGAGGGACAGTTTTGTAACAACCTGCAGGAACAATCTGTCAGCAAGCTATTAGTGATTTTGGGGGGTACATCCTAATGTCTAGTGTTGAAATCTCTTGATAGCAACTTTATAGGAATGGCTAAATTAGCATGTGCAGTTGATGAAGTAAGACAAGGACTAAGCGGCTTGTTTTAATTGCAACTTGCTTGTGGATACACGACTGAAACTACAAACTTTTGCATTATATTTTAGGACCTTTTCATGACTTTCATGAGTTTTATTCTCATTACAGTAACAAAAACAACAAATACTACCAAATTGTACTTTACAAATGTACACTACTGTTCAAAAGTTTGGAGTTAAAGTTTTCTTTTTTAGCAAGGATGCATTAAATTGATCAAAAGTGACAGTAAAGACATTTACTGTAGAATGTTACAAAGATTTCTATTTAAAATATATGCTGTTCATTTGAACATTCTATTCATCAAGTTTCCACATTTTTTTTTAAATGACAAATAAAAGTATGCTGCACAACTTTTTCTACATTGATAAATAAGAATTTTCTTGAGCAGCAAATCAGCATATTAGAATGATTTCTTAAGGATCATGTGACACTGAAGACGACTAATGGTTGCTGAAAATTCAGCTTTGCCATCACAGGAATAAAACATATTTGAAAAAAATGTTTAAAATAGAATTCTAAATAGAATACTGTAATAATATTTCACAATGTTATTGTTTTTATAGTCTTTTGGATCAAATAAATGCAGCCTTTGTGAGCATAAGAGACTCTTACCATCACCAAATGTTTGAACGGTAGTGTACTTTAAAATTACAATATTTAAATTTATATTTTTGCATCACTATAATGATAATTATTATTATTCATATTACAACAAGCTACTACGGAGCCCCTAAAGGAACATGGTGATGGAAAATAATATTCTTGCGAAGTATTGAAATATATATTTTTCCTCCCATCTCATTTTTTTCCACCACCATGTCCCTTTAGGGGCTCCATAAGCTACTGAAGACTGGGGGAGAATGATTCTGAATTGATTCTGAAATAGTCACAAAAAAAAACTAAATTAGGCTTCATTATCTTTGTGTAAAATAAAAATAAATATATAACATGTATTATGAATTTATGAACACGTATTTATGAAAAATATTTTTATATATTTTACCCATTATAAATATACAAATATATTTTAATTTTAATTTTTTTATTTGGAGTTAAGTATGACCTAAATATGTGAAACATTAAGTGTGATTGTAGACTTACGATGCTGTCAGTGTTGAATTGAGCACCATGGTAGCACGTATCCTGTGTAACTGAGCCACAGTCAGTTTTTTATGCTGCTGATGTGGCTGCTGGGAAAGCACCAAGTCACTTTTTTCCTCCAGACCACCAGAGGGAAGTGTCTCAATCTCTGTAATCTCACAGTCTGCCTGGCCATTGGGGCAGCTGAGGGTCCTTTGCACGTGCCTGGCCTCTGCTCTCCTAAGAGTGCTCGTCAGTTTGCTAGACAATGCTTTTGGATCCTCACGGAGGCCTTCCTCGTCCATCTGGAATAACTCAGAGCTTTGAGACGAATGTTTGGCAAGGTGTGTCAAGCTCTTGCTTACATTGTTCCTGCCAGAGGGGCGGAGAGGACCGGTGAGGCATTGAAGGAGGTCATCTTCGGAGCGTGACCTGAGGGTAAAGTGCTGCAAGTAGTCTGGGCGGGGCTGGACGGGCGAACGGCGCCGCAGCGTTTGGGAACGACAGCCCATGACCCGAGACATCCCAGAAAAGTCATTCTTCTGCCCAAGCTCCTCATTGTTCGCATGGTCATGGTCTAAAACGTAGGACTCATTTACAGTAATCTGGGAGCCATTCCAGGTTATTGAATCCTCCTCGTCACCATCTTCGTCATCCTCAAATCCCTCTTCTTCCTCCCCAGCATCTGTTTCCTCTCCCTCGCTCTGGCA